TGCAACACCACCAAAAAATCATTTGAGTAAGTACCTTCATTTGTTTTACTACTTTTCTTTTACAAGTACCATCTGTTTCACTGGAAAAGGTATTATGAAAGAAAAGACCCAATTATAATAACAACAAGACGACAAAATTCTTAGGGAAAAGCATAGTAAGAAATGAAGTGTACATGAAAAAAATAAGCAACAAAACTCTGTAGAGTAATAATAAACTAATCTTATCAGATACTGAGCGATAATTAAATCAGCAAAGTACTGGTGCATTAATAGAAGGACCAATGGAAAAGAACAGAAATCCCAGAATAACCCTAAACACAACACAAAAGAAAATTCAGCAAATGATAGAAGTGACATTTCCTATCAGTTAAGGGAAGACAGCTGCAAAAGTTAATTTTGTGTGGTAATTTGGAGGGTGTTTTGGATGGATTTAACAATTTAGAAGGGTGATTTAAGTCAAGCAGATTGTCTTCCATAATGTGAGTGGGCTTCATGCAATTATTCTGAAGACCACACTACAATAAAAAGACCTGCCTTCCTTGAGAAGAAGAATTTCAGCAGATGCCTTCTGACCTCATCTGTATCAGCAGCTCTCTGGGGTCTCCAGCCACCCAGCCACACTGCAGATTTTGGACTTGCCAGTGTTATTATAAATAACACTACACACACACACACACACACACACACACACACACACACACATTTTGTTTCTCTGAAGAACTCTAATACGATAATCTACATATGAAGAGATGGTTAAATAACCAAAGCCATTTAGAAAAAGCACATCAGGCTGAACCCTCTTCTCTCTTACCAGACTGTAAGAAGTGAAACATAAACTGAATGTATGAGCAGGGCGCTGTGTCACATGCCTGTAATCCCAGCAGTTTGTGGAGGCTGAGGCAGGAGAATCACGGATTCAAAGCCAGCCTCACCAACAGTGAAGTGCTAAGCAACTCGGTGAGACCATATCTCTAAATAAAATACAAAATAGGGCTGGGGATGTAGCTGGGTGGTCAAGTGCCCCTGAGTTCAATCCCTGATATCCCCTCGTCCAGAAAAAAAAAAAAAAAAAAACTGAATGTATGAAAACACTTTAAAAATTATATGGGAGAGTTGCTTCATGACCCTAAAAGTGTAGGAGGTCTTTTGAGCTCCCACCATAAATAAAATCCAGACATCATGCAAGACATTAATAACTCTGACTACATGAAAAAAAATTTTTAATTTTATTTGTTTATTTTTATGTTGTGCTGAGGATCGAACCCAGTGCCTCGCACAGGCTAGGCAAGCGCTCTACCACTGAGCCACAGCCCCAGCCCACAGGAAAATTTTAAAACAAAAAACCCTTCTGCATTACAAAAAAAACCTGCCATAACTAATGTCAAAAGACAAATAATATCCAATCGATAAATAAAGAATTTTCAAAAACCAATCTCAAGTGACCAGTAACTGAATTTAAAAAAATCAAGATAAAAAGACAATAAATTTACAGTGCAGGAAAATTAGAAAACACAAATGCTTTTAAACAAATAAGACAACACTCATCATCACTCATAACAAGATAACTGTAAACTAAAACCCTATTATTATCAGATTGGCAAAAATCCAGAGGCTTTCATAAAATCACACCACATTATGTACCGAGATCAGTCCTCTTACACTTAAATAGCAGAGTGTAAACTGGCGGACTCTGTGGAGTGCAACCTGGCATTATCTTCGAGAAGAGCAAACTTTGACCCAGCAAGTTGCTTTCAGGAATTTGTCCTACAGACATTACTGTGCTTATGAACTGGCACATAGTTAGTTTATCAGGGCAACATTGTTTGAATTGAAATAATCTAAATGAAGAACTATCAAAGAGAACTAGCTAAACATATTGTGGTATGTCCACAAAATGGAATAACTATATAAAAAAAAAAAAGATTGAGGGATCACTCATGTTCTCCTTTAAAGAGAGCTCCAGAAAATCCATTTAAATGAGTAGAAGAGAGAGATGACCAAAAAACAAAACACAAATATAAAAACTATAAACAGAGTATGTACAGTACATTAAAATATGCTATATTTGGTATAAAAACAGGGTAAAATTTAAATATGGCATTTTGCAATCTCCAGAAAAATACACAATAAACTAATACAATGGTTATCTAGCAAAAGGGCAAGGTAGGTGGTAAAGGGGGTAAGGAGAATTAAGATGGGTAAGGCACTTTTCTCTGTATCTTTTCCTTGTACTTTTCAAATTTTTGAAACACATGATTGTGTTGATTAACCAAAACATTAAACACATTACCAACTGGCTCAGTGGCACACACCTATAATCCAAACTACACAGAAGACTGAGGCAGGAGGACTGCCAAATTTGAGACCAGCAAAAGAAACTTAGGGAAACCCTGTCTAAAAAATAAAAGTTAATGGGCTGGGGTTGTAGCTCAGTTCACTTGCCTGGCACATGTGAGGCACTGGGTTTGATCCTCAGCACCACATACAAATAAATAAATAAATAAATAAATTGTGTCTGCCTACAACTAAAAAAAAAAAAAAATTTTAAAGTAAATAAATATATTAAAAAAAAAACCCAAGTTAAAATTAAAAGGGTTGGGAATATTGCTCAGTGTTAAGAGTCCTTGCCTAGTATGAGGTCCTAGGTTCAATCCCTAGTACTGCCCCCCTCCAAAAAAAATTTTTTTAAATATGAAATAGGTATCTTAATGAATCCTAAAATTAGCTATTGTATACATCATTTTAACCAAAGTCATTATTTGCTGAGTGCCTTCTATGAAATCAACAGGTTTTATACAGAGAGAAAGAAAGTCTGTATGAAAGAATGTTCTTATTGTTATGAAATATTGATTGATCAAACTAAATACAGTTGAATTTACTAGGTTTTTAAATGCACATGAAGTCAGTATTCTAAGTTCTTTACTAAAATTTGGCCTGGTTGTAATAATATTCTATTGGTATCTTTTATTTTGTTTTAGGATTGATTTTGGAGTATTATTTTGGTGTCAGAGATACCAACTGTATCTACAAAACTAGAACTCATTTCTTAGAGGGGAACGACCCAGGTCTACCTGGCCTTCTAACTCCCTAGACACCAGGACTGGTCCTGTCAAATCAGACCATCTGACTAAGTCAGTTAAATATCCTCAATTTCAACCTTTTATCCTACAGGAGTATAATAAAACTTAAAAAAAAAAAAAACCCTCAGATATTCTATAGCTCGAGTTTGAACCCCAAAAAAATTTAACACATTTTGAGAAATTCAGGTTTTATTCAAAATTCAGAATATATAAAAATGATCATATTCATAAGAATCATGATTCTCTAGTATTTCTTACCATAAAATTTACTGTATTTGAATCAATAAAATAATGGTACGATCAACACACAAGACAGCCCTCAATTCAGCACATTAAAACAGTATTCATTACAGTAAGACTCTACCTGTACTGTGCTTTCAATATTTAAATGTGAAGGATATTACATATCTAATTGCCATCTGCTGGAAGGCATCAGTGAATGCTTCATAAAGGAAGTAAATTTTGAGCTTGGTCGTGAAGGAAATGACAGGCACTCAGAATCCTTAATCAAACTGGTTTTACAATCAGAGAGTAAAATGAGTAATGTAATCTCTCTACTGAGTCCTTAAATTTTGATGACATGACAAAACATTCTATGTCTACAGATAAGTTCAATAAGTCTCTGAAAGCCTATAACTTTTCTATGGAAACCCAAGATACCAGTCTCTTTCACTTTAAAAGAGCTGATATTTGAAGTACTTTAAAACATTCACACACTTTAATAAAAGCTAGACCAGACAGCTCTGAGATAATGCACCTCCCTACTGATAGAGGTTCTATATATCCCTAGCTATATTACCAAAATTTTGCAAACACACACACAGAAAGCAAAATTGTACAGAATCTTAAATCTTTCCTGCGGTTTTAACATGTTTTGTTTAAAGTCACAAACTCTCTTTAGAACCCTGTAATCAAAGTCACATGGGTGCTGACTCCAACAAATCCAAGAAAATAGTTAAGAAATTCACTAAACTGACCAAAATTTAAGCTCCATGTAGTTTTAGTTTTGGCTTATGATCAACAGTCTATTCAAGCTATAAAAGAAGCTCTTTAAAAATGAAAAAGTACACATCTTCTCTTTACTACCTCCACCCCAAAAAAGAGAGAAGAGGGGGAAAGATTAAAATGGAAAGCTGCATTTTGATGCTTATGGCTGGCAGAGCTATGACAATCACATTGTGTTCAGAGTGAAGAGTCCCTGCTCAGGACTTCACTGCACTTCCCACCTAAGTGACAGTCTCTAAGACAACATGGAACTCAATCACTTTACCAAATACACATGTACTATTTTTCTTAATCATATAAACTCAAATATATTGCCCAATAACATAAAGCAGTATTTTAATGAGGTTAATTTAAAGTAGAACCTTTTTACTTAACGCAGATGATTCCCATTAATATTTTAATATATTATTACTGAAGTGATTATCTGTTTATAAGCAACATTTTCACCCAGCATCGCTTAATAATAAAACAAACCTAAATAAAAAGGCAAGATAAAAATATCACGCATGTGCCAACAAGTAGGAACAGGCAAAAACCCTTTTCCTGAATAAGCCTTACACAACAACAGAGCACTTTCTTGAAAGACTTAGAAGGCAAATGACAAATAACATGAAATGAGTGACAGTTTCTACTGTCACCAACCAGAAATGCAAGCAGCTATTAAACTAGTCACTTTTCCCACTCTTTAATCTCACACATGCAGGAAAGAATGAAGGAATAAGGAGGTGGGGAGGAGGAAAGAGGAAGGGAATTAGATTAGGCTATAGGTTTGCATGTTCTCAAAATTACCTTTGTTTTCTACTGAGAGCACAATTATTAAAATGGGACAGAAAGATTTTTCAGAGCATGATCTGCCTCTGAACACAGGCCTGGAGGAGAAAACAAGCGCTGAGGAAGGCAATGGGCTATGCTCACCTGCTGCGGCTGGTACCTCTGCTGGGACTGGGATGGCAAATACTGCGCCTGGGGCGGGAGATGCGGGGGCTGGGGCTGCTGGTTGTAATATGGCTGTTGGCCTTGTTGGCAGTAGCCACTCACACCTTGCTGTCCATACTGAGGTGGCATCTGTCAAAAAGTCAAGCAAAGCAAATGAGAGAATCAAAATGTGCAATTAAATGAAATCAAATATGGTTTCAATTCAGTAACATGGTGTGAGCTCTTGTAAGCAGTTGAATTCAATATTATTAATCCTCTCTTCATTACGTAAATCAACATACTTCCTTCTCTTCACATACTATCAATGAAGTAAAAAATTTTTTGACTTTACCTTTAAAAATCATATTTTATCAGATAGCAAGTATTGAGAAAGCCATAAAAATCTAGTGAGAAAAAAAGCTACTAATACTGACATTTTACAAATGCCTTGGCTAAGAAAGTCAAAGAGGTATTATGTTAAGTCCATTCCCATGCAACAGTGTAAATATGAATTCACACAATCTATGTTAATTCATTGATATTTTGTAGGATGCCTGTGTTTTGAGTGCATCACACCGTGCGTGTCTGTTTCCAAGTTCAGAATAACTAAAGTTAGAACATCCCAATTACATTTCTAACACGATGTGAGCCACTTACATTAGCAATTCCACTCACTATTTTTGCTAAAAAGAAATGCATTTCTTTACCATCAAATGAAACCCTTTGAAAGCAATACCCCTTATAGTTTGGAGCTTAAATGTCCCTCAAACGCCCATGTGTTAGAGGCCTCTGTGTAAGAGAGGAGGCCTAGTGGAAGGTCTTGAAGTCACTGCAGCCATGCCCTTGAAGGGGACTGTAAGACTCCAGCACCTTTCTCACTCTCTTTTCGTTCCTGACTACGAGGAAAGCAGTCTTACTCCACCCACATGTTCCTGCCATGATGGGTTGGCCTCACCAAAACTGTGAACCAAGAGAAACCTTCACTAAGTTGATAATCTCAGGTATTTCTTCTAATGGTGGAAAACTGACCAATGCAAACACATAGAAAACAATACTGTGGGTATCAAACCACCAATCCAGGTTCCTGAAGGAAATATATTCATATCTAGTTGATAAAACAGGAAATAATAATCAGTAAATAATAAAGCCCAATATAAAATAGACCAAAATGGCCAAAACAATCTTCTCCATCTCTAATTTACATGACCCTAAATATTTGTTAAAGCATTTTTCAGAGGAAAATCCTTCCTTGTGCAATCAATAGACCCTTAATAGTATTTTCAGATTTTTTAAAATGAGAATTTTTAAGTGTTTTAAAATAAGAAGTCTATTGATTTTCTTTTCCTCCTAATTAAAAGAGCAAGATAGGAAAAGAAAAACAAGAAATCAGAACAGTAAAAAACACTCCAGAGCCAAGAATGGTGAAGTCATTCTGTTAATACCACAATATGGTTCCTTTGGGAACTCCAAGAACCTGAGCCCTATAAGCCCACACACTCGAGAAATTAAGGAGTACCAGATACACGCTGAAAAGTCAAATTCAATATAGAAACACTGAATGAGGCAAAAGAAAGAATGACAAAGGAGGAAAATTTCTAAGACAAATTAGTACAGTATTTCTTTCAAAGTAATCCAGATTATTTTTAAAATCTATCAGCAATTATCACAAACACCACGGCTCACAACACCTCTTATCATAAGGTGCCTGCAACATTAGAGCAGACGAGTTTGCAATGAAAAGCCATTTAACAGCACGGTTAAATTCCTTGCTTTTATTTATTTTTCATTTGATATTTCATAATGCATGTATGTCCCTGCCACAAACCAAGCCAAAGAATTTCCATAAAATACAACTCCGCATGCTAGAACACTACACATCCTCTCGTTCAACACCCATATGTTTGATTTGATATCTAATACTATATTTCACACGAGCATCTTTGCAGTTTGATTTGAAGCAGTGAGGATAACACTTTTGCTAGTGTTAAAATGACTGTAAAGCTCAGTCAACACAGCCAGCAACTCCCCTAGGAGTTATGCTTGAATATGTTGACTTGCTGCTTTATGGAAACCCTTGTGCACAATATCAAAGTGTTCCTGGGTGGGGGGCTGCCTGCCAAGCAAGACAACAAGAGGACATATTGCAGGAACCTACTAAAACCAGAACAGCCACACACTCACTAACTCTTACTATGCATTCTAACTCTGGGATGTTTGGGGCAGGTCAGGGGGCCAGGGGGTTAGGGAAGGGCACAAGTAAATCACCCACAGAGCTACCATAACTAGCAAAACTAAGCAAACTACAGAGGTAAAACCATCTAAAACCATGCTTAGGAGCCCTAGTTGCTATCTTTAGCCATCAAAAACTATCTGCCATCCTCTAAAGTATATGGTCTAATTCATTCCTTTGGGACCAATTTCACTGACACCTCTCTCTGTGAGCCTGGGATGAGGAAACCTAAGATGATGTACAACTGGCTCTCCAGTGGATCTCAGTTAGAAATGCATGAATAGAAACCCAATTCCCACTGTCCCTTAGTTATCTGAACATGGTCAATCACAAAACTTGTCATAAATCTCCAACTGCAAAAATGGGGTTATATTATTAATTATTAATAATTTCTTTATTAATTCATACTAATAGTGTGGTCAGAAATGTAATAATCCTACCTTGAAGTTTATGCAGATACTGTTACTACTTTTTAAATTTATAAATTGTAGGGCTGTCTCTAACCTGTTAAACTATTTTCTAAGAGTAACCTTTAAAAGCCCATTTCTTAATATAATAAATGTCTCCTGTAGGTGCCCGAACTAAGGTCTGGTTTGTTGATTGGTTTGTTTGTTTGTTTTGGTGCCGGGGATTGAATCCTGGGTTCCTTAATCATTGAGCTACATCCAATCTTCAACCCTTTTTATTTTTTTATTTTGAGACAGGGTCCTGCTAAGTTGCGTAGGGCCTTGCTAAATTACTGAGGCTGGCTTTGAACCCATGATCCTCTAGCCTCAGCCTCTAGAGCCGCTGGAATTACAGGCATGTGCCACCATGCCCGGATTAAGGTCTTAGTCTTTAATGATTATTACTAGTTTTGTTTTAATCATTCCAGCTGCAAGGTTTTCAAAGCTCTAATGTATACTTTTCAGACTTCTTAACCTGAACAACCTATATCACATGCATAAAATTCACAAGGAAGTCATCAGAGCCCATTGTTGGCTTGGTTAGTTCTGCCATCTTTTCACCAACAGGCCACCGCTATTCACTCTGACCTCAGCCCTCAACCCAACCCCAGTATTCTTGATATACCTCCAAGGTGCTGAGACCTGAGGAGCCCAGACACACTGTCCAAGTGGCAGCAGCACACAGGACTACTCCATGAGGAATACATGTAGGTTTGTCCCAAGCTCTGTGAGGCCTCTTCTGGCTACTGAGAGTTTCTTCATTTTTTCTTTTCTTAGTTCTAAACCACACTCAAGACAACTACAACAATCACTAGACTGTGTATTATTTATGACCACACACGCAGCTACCAAAATTTGAATCAAAAAGGAAATCTATGTCACTCTCTGGGAATGAAGAGGGAACAGACAAGGTGAGACTTCAGCCATGTATTTTCCTCCTTTAAAAAAAAAAAAAAAAAAAAGACATGTAGAGGCTGGGGTTGTGGCTCAGCTGTAGAGCGCTCGCCTAGCACATGTGAGGCCCTGGGTTCGATCCTTAGCACCACATAAAAATAAATACATAAAGATATCATGTCCAGCTAAAAAATAGATATTTTTTAAAAAAAAGACATGTAGCCAGGCACAGTGGTGCACATCTGTGATCCCAGCAGCTCAGGGGAGGCTGAGGCGGTGGGATCTTGATTTCAAAGCCAGCCTCAGCAACTTAGCAAGGCCCTCAGCAACTTAGCAAGATCCTGTCTCAAAATAAAAAAAGTGCTGGGGATGTAATTCATGGTAAAGCACCTCTGGGTTCAAATCACAGTAACACTATGCACCCCCCCCCCCAATAAAAGTAGGGCTGGGAGTGTGGTAGGGCATGCCTAGCATGTAACACAGCAAAATCTATAATCTTATAATCTTAGTACAGTTGCACAAAGTGCTACATTTGTTTCTGACCTGTTCCTGTGCTTAAACTATTTCATCATTTTACATTCTAAAGTAAAGATCTTGGATCCACCTTGTGCCCTTTATCACACAAAAGGAAGACGCAGAGGGGAGCTAACACACATAGGCGGGGGACCCTTCAGAATGGTCCTTTCCAGAGTGGGGCTCTGTCCACTGCTTTATTAACTAGGTCCACTCCGGTCTCAGCTCCAGAGACCCACGTCTTCTCCCTGGGAGGGATTCAGATGGAGCAAGTCACCAGTGCGTTCTCCACAAAGATGAATCTGTACAGGCTGCTACGTCTGTAACTCCAAGGACTTGAAGCCAGCATTTCCTTGTGGCTTCCATGAGGGACACTCATTTATCTCACAAAATTAGTTCTACTGTCAAAAAAGCTTGAAAAATAAGCGTACTATAAAAATAAAGCAGACTCCATATGTAAATTATAGGATCTGTGAATTCTTGAACAGTCAGGGGGTTGTGTGCCACAAAACCCAGGATCTCTTCACCTTCATAGGCCTCTGGCCCCATCCTGTGGAGTGTGACCTCTTGGGACAGGCCTTCCTGGTTGAGGTCATCAGTGCATGCAGAATGCCTGACCTCTAGGAAAAGCTCAGTGAAATGTTTGCTGACTGAACCTCCTGGAATACATACAGAAATTTCACGGCCAACAAAGTAAATTTGAGAGCTTCTGCCTTGAACTCAAGAAGGGTCCAGTCCAATTCTACCTCCATGCAGAAGGCTGAGGAAGACATCCAGCATGGATCCCACCATCCTCTCCGACGTGCGCTTTTGAAGCGTTAGTACTACACAACTCACTTTCCACCTGGACTTGTTGCCTCTGTATCAAGTAATCTACTTACATTAGTCTATGAACAAAAGAAATAACTTGGCGTTGTCCTAAAACATGATGAAAACTCCCCACTTCTCAATTTTGACACAGTACTTTGTGATATATAATGAAATGAGCACTTCACCGGTCCAAATTTAAAGATCTACTGCTTTCTTTTTTTCACTTTGCTAAAATGTACATAAATTTACCACCTTAA